CACTGTAGCAGGGCTCGGCCTCACTGCAGCAGGGCTCGGCCTCACTGTAGCAGGGCTTGGCCTCACTGCCCCAACAGCATTTCACCCCAGGCCTCAAATGCCTCCAAAGGGACCATTATTGGAAGAGATTAAAAGGAAAATAACATTGTTAAAATAAAGAGAAGTCCACACTGATTTAGACTTTGCTTTGATAGAGGAAAAAAATAGTAATGTAACAATAATCCTAAAAATAAAGGGGTTTGTAATCGACACATACAGGTGTTACTATATATACAACTGTCTTTTGAGGCCTCAACTACTCTGTGGGTAGACAGGAAGGCATCATTACATGCATTTCCCAGACAGAAGTCTGAGGATCAAAAAGACTGAGTCAGTGGTGAGGAGTCACTCTGGAGACGGGGCCTGGCTACTGGAGTTTAAAACTGGGCTCTGGGAGCTGCTTGCCCAGGGGCAGCAGGCAGCCCCACAGGCCGCCCACTTCTGGTAGCTCAGCAGAGTGCAACCTTCCTGTTCTTTTGCTCTCTCTTCTCAGCCTGCTTCCCTCACACTCTGGGCCCCTCTCCCCCCAGGCTGCCGACCTCCATGCCAGCTTGACTCCGGTGGGTGGTGTGGTGTGGTGCGGCCCTCCCTTTGCTCTGCTCCGTCTTCCTTCTCTAGGCAGCTGCTGAGACTCACGGCTGGCCTACCCTGGGGTTTTTCTTTGAAACTTTAATGAAATTGTTCTCCAGCCTTGAAAACAATTCTGGCTCTTTCCCAGAAAGACGTAGTAACGTGACTAAGACAGAATAAACTCAGGATGAGAGTGTGTACACACACATAAGCGCAAGTGTGCACAGCACACATGTCACACATGTACACAGCACACGTGCATGCAGACCTCCACTTACAGGCATTGTGTTCCTGAAGTGGGGATGAATATAAACTCTTCCTCTCACACCAAGTTAACCGTAACTTCACGGCCTTGCCTGTCAGTGTGGCTAGCCTCTGGCGCAGGGCTCCAGTCATACCTGCGACTCTGACTGACGGACACTGTAGGAACCTGACTCAAACAGGGAAGCTTCCTACTTCAGCTGTCTGCAGGTAGCTCTCAATACAGCCTTTGCCAGAGTATCACCTCAAAACTATCACTTTTTCATTAAAAATAATAATTTAAGAAAAAATCGACCCTGCCTCGCCACACGTATCCCGATGCCTCTGTGGACAAATTCCTAAAGTACAGAATTCACCACATGAAATCAGCAGAAAATCCTTATTTTACATCTACAGCTTGGCTCTGTGAAATCTGCACGATGAAATCTTATCACAGCGATTTGTGTCTGAAAAGGAAAGAAACTTGGATTGCTGCGCATGTGAGTGCTTGGCCTGACCGTGAGGATGCAGACACAGAGCGTGCAAAACCTGGCTTCTCCTCAGGTGTCTTCTGCCTTATGGAAATGCCTTACTTCATTTCTGACTCCGAGCCAGATTATACAATCAACTGAATCTTAAAAAAATTAAAGTGGTACGTATATACACATATGGCTTCTAAAAGTGGACCCACCAACTAACCCAGGAATTTGGGATCTCAGAGGACGGAGAACTCTTGCTGTCAGCCATGTGTACACGCAGACTCCAGAGAAAAAAACTATTCTTTCTGCTTTGGACTCTCTAGGTCAGGGCCCCACAACATGCCCTTCTTAATTTTACCACCTTGAACAGTAAGGAACTTCTAAAGTGTCAAGCTTTCAAAATCCAATTATAGCCTGCTTCCGCCAGTGGACATTCTCCTCTCAAGAACTCCCAACAAGGTGAAGGATGGACATTAACGACCAGGTCTGTCCAGCTGCACTGAGCACGTTAGCCCTGACAAGTGGTATAGACAGGCTTTCCTCTTTGGGGAATCTTTACATTTCTCTCTAACTTGCATCTTTTTAAATTCCAGTAACCCAAGCGGGGCTTTCTACACAGTACGGTGGCAGGCTGCTTCCATTTCTGGTTTGGAGATCTCTGCTGTTCGGTGGTTGTTGTTTTGCCATGCTAGAGACCAAGACCAGACCCAGGGCTTAGCATTCAGCTGTCTCCCAGCCCAGAACGAGCTTTCTCCAAGAATCCAAAGAGCTAGAGATCCAGCCCAGTGGTGGAGCTCCTGCTAACATGCACAAGGCGCCTCAGGACTAGGATGGATGAATGAATGAGTGAGTGAATGAATGAATGAGTGAGCAAGTGAATGAATGAGTGAAGAGATCCAGCCCAGTGGTGGAGCTCCTGCCTAATATGCACAAGGCCCTTCAGGACTAGGATGAATGAGTGAGTGAATGAATGAGTGAGTGAATGAATGGCTGATCTGTGACTCTGGAGGCCATGTCCATTTTGAAATACCTGTCTATGACGCCAACTTTATTACTGACTCAGCTGCAGCTTGTGGTCACCCAGGACCAGCTCCACACTTTACAGCTAGTCCATCGTTCTCCAGATGCGATTTATATGGCTGTGTCTTCCATCCACGTACCACCTCCTCGTACTTCCTTCATTAAACCTGGATGAGCTGTTCATAGATCCCCCTTACCATAGTACTTTATGGCAACATTTACATAGGCAACGTATATCTACCGTTTGTGCCTTGTCATGGCAAGACTATCAAGTCCATGTGATCAATCTACACAATGAGTGCGGTTAAAGCCGTGCCGTCACGGCACAGCACCCGCCGAAACCTACCTCCACTGGGTGGTCGCTCCTGAGCAGGGCTACGCGAGCCCTCTGCAGCGAGCCGTGCATCAGCTTGTGAAGCCGTGCGATCAGCTTCCTGAGCCCCATCTGCTTCAGCGCTTTGTCCACGAACGGTCTATAAATAGAAGTCAGGCAATGCCGACGAGAGCCGGCTTCGGGGCCACAGTCCGCGGCTCCCCAGCCCACAGAGTCCTCCTCGGACTCGAGCCTCTCCAGTCTCCTGGCGGTGCGGTCCTGTGAGTGGGCGTCCCAGAAGCTGTCCGTGGACGGCCGGAGCTCTGGAACCCTCGGCGGACTGGGGGTTCGCTCCCCATCGCTCTCCTCTGCTCCGCTCTCCAGCTCTCTCAGCTCTCCCTCCGTGTCCTCACCCTCGTCTTCCGGCTCGTGGCCCTTGGATGTCCGAGGGGAAGGGATTTCAAACACTGGCCAGCCAATGTCTGACAAGTTCTTGATTCCCAGAACAGTGCCCATAATCCTCAACTTCTGATTTAGGTCTTTCGTGATGTTCAGCCACAGACAGAGCGCCTGCACCCTGTCCTCAAAGTCCTTCGCGGCGTATCGTTCATAGTCCTTCTGCAGGGCCTGCAGCGACGGATAAAGTGCTTCCATGTACTCCAGCAGCTCCATTATCCGCTTCACCTGCTCAAACGAGACCCTTTGGCGCTGGAGGTGCTCGTGGTACGTGGAACAGCCCGCACTGTTCCCCCCGTGAGGGGTTCTGCACGGCCCTTCTCGGGAGGTGCCGTTGAAACCAGCTCCATTTCTAGGGAAGGCGATGCTCCCATAATTAACTTTGAACGTGAGGATTTCATTGATAATGTCCGGGATGGCTTGGCGAGCCGTGTATAAAAAGAGGTCCTGGTCGTTGATGGTGCGGCCTGCGTGCCAGGCCTGGAGCTCTAACCAGATCAGTTCGTTCGATCGGTTGAACCAGAAAGCAGCTGTGTTTTCCTGTCCCCTCTGCTCCCTGTCCTTCTTCTTCGAGACTGAGGTAAGCTTTAGCAAAAGGCGCAGTGTTTCAAAGAACTTCAAGCGATCCGCTGGGCAGTCACTCCGGGAAGTCTGCCGGGCAGTTCTGGCTATAGGCATGGGCATGGAGACCGGCAGCTTGGCGTTGCTGCAGCCGAGGCTGAGGTAAGGCTTATTGAGATCCACATCGGGAATCGATTTTTTTGGCAAAGACCCGGCCACCGAGTCCAACATGAAGGAGCACTGTGCGTTCTTCTTATGGTCTCGCTCTGTTGTCCGCAGAGTGGCTCGGATCTTCTTCTCCTGCTTGTAGCTGTATTCTTCCACGGGCTCCACCCCCTTCCCCGCATCTTTATGTGGAGACTGATTTGGTGTGTTCATTTTTTCTATTGAAAACAAAATCAACAGTATAAAGCTCTAAGATCTGAAGCTGGTCACTGTTTTAAACCAAACTGATACTCACATGCGTTTACACTCAGGCTATCACTGTGAGGAATACAAGTTCCATAAGCTGAAACTGGAAAGTAATCAACACACACACTGTAATTTTTTAATGACTGTCTTCCTTTTTCTTACTATATACTTGTGTTTTTTTTATACTCACAACTACTGATCAAACTGTCACATTCAACACTACAAGATGTACTGAACCCCTCAATTTGATGCAACCACCTTCAACTTTAAGAAGGGGGAATGGCAAGGGAAACGTGACAGAGACTGGGTTCAAGAGAACAGCCAATCCCTGCCTTAGTCCTAACAAACTTCGTTTCATTTAGAAGCCAATAATTTAAATCTCCTGGGTCCTTCCCTCTTCTTCCTGGTGGAATGAGGTGACGTGCCATCAGAACGAGAGGCACTGGGCTGAGAAGACGCTCAGTGGGTAAGGTTCTGGCCACTCAAGCAGACTGGATCCCTAACACCCACATCAGTCAGGCGGGCATGAGGAGCATCTATAGCCGGTGCTGCTGGGTGGTGGCAGAGGATCTCTGAGAACCTGCTGGCCAGTGAGTGCTGCTGAATCCGTGAGCTCCAGGTTCACCAAGAGACCCTGCCACAGTAAAGACACTGCAGAGGAATCAGGGCAAAGCCCAGTGCTGACCTCTGCCCTCCCCATGCACACACACACACACACACACACACACACACACACACACACGAACATGAACACACACCTGAACACACGAATGTGCCCATACACACGCAAGCAACAACACCACAGACATACGCAAAAATACCAGAAATGCTTAAAGCCCCTCAAGATTACTTCCAGAAAGAGCAGAAAGACAACTGATGAACAAAACTGCTGAGCGCTGATTTCATCTCCTGCTTCCTTCTCTGTCACAAACGAACGACCTGAAGGTGAACAGAACTGAAGACACATAGAACTATCCATTTTTTTTTTCTCCGAGACAGGGTTTCTCTGTGTAGCTTTAGCTTTATGCTTTGGAGACCAGGCTGGCCTCGAACTCACAGAGATCCGCCTGCCTCTGCCTCCCGAGTGCTGGGATTAAAGGCGTGTGCCACCACCGCCTGGCTAGACCCATCCATTTTAACTCACCTTGTCTGCCATATTAGCATAGAGAGTCATTCCAAAGCAATGCAAAAGCAAAGTAAATCTCACACAGTTCCTCCAGACCAATGTAAAGGCTCCAATGAGTTGATATCAAACTTCAGAGTGAACACACACATCTGCCTTTGTGTTTACATTTTACCACCATTCACCAGCCATGCCTAAGCCTCTCATCCCAGAGCCTCCTGAACACAGACAGTGAGCGGCCTTTGTGGCCCACTCACTATGTGAATGCTAATGTTTCCAAAGCTTAGATCTTGAAGCTGACTCTCCCCTGGTCTGTCCTGGCTTTTCCCATCCTCATCCCAACTTCCTTGATAACCTGCGCCACCACTCGAGCCCCATCACCCGGACCCCACACACCTTGTTCGGAGTCCTGGATGCAGACCCCCTCTCTGAACATCTCTGGGGTCAGAATGGGGCATGGTCAGTGGTGACATGTAAGATTCAGGCACACAGTCACCAAGATACTCCAGGTATAGGTTTCTTTACACATGTGTAGGTAAGAAACGATGTTTTTCTTTATCATTTGTAAGTATGCAAAGTATAAGAGTCTCTAAATAGGCAAGAGTCTAAGTTAGAAGAACACACTATGTCAAGGGCAAGCATTTGATCCCAGTTATGTCTTCAGATTTGACGGAATGAGGTGTGTTCACATGAGTTACAGAGCAATACATCTAAAAATCAATGCACTAAGGAAAATTTGAACAAGATCAATTTGCTTTCTAATTAAATTATTTTAAAATAAGGGTTAAACAAATTTCCAGTATATTTATAGCTTATACACCTTATACTGATGCTATAACCCATCAAAAATGCTTTCTAAATCATTTGTTTATGCCAGCACACACGTATGTGCCGGAGTGTGCACAGTGCGGGCAGAGGAGAACTGTGGGAACAGGTCCTTTCCTTCCACCATGTGGGTCCCAGGCAGCCCAAGTCTCTACCAGATGCTGCTGCAAAGGCCTTACATTTTAAACCTGTGCAACAACCATGGAGTACTTACAACCATGGAGTACTTAGAACCACAGAGTACTTAGAACCACGGAGCACCTACAACCACGGAGCACCTACAACCACGGAGCACCTACAACCACGGAGCACCTACAACCACGGAGCACTTACAACCACGGAGCACTTACAACCACGGAGTACTTACTGTTAACTAAGACCCAAAGAGATTCACTCATTGGCCTGTCTTCACTGGGTGATAGGGCTGAGCCACCTTGCTAACAGTTTGGCTACAGAAGTTTACTACATTTTTAAGCATAAAACTGTTTTATTTATTTGTCTGTTGTGTGCATGGGTGTTTTGCCTGCATGCCTATCTGTGTGCCTGGGGCCCACTGAGGCCAGAAAGCCTTGGATTACCCAGAAATGGAACTGCAGATGATTCCACATCTTTGCTGGGAATAGAACCCGGGTCCTCTGCAAGAGCAGCCGGTGCTCCTGACTGCTGAGCCAGTCCCTAGTACTTTTTTAAATTAGTGACAACTGAAGACTGATGGAAATGTTATTTATACTATTATTTATTCTACCTGTATCAAAGACTATTGGGGTCCAGCCCTTAATAGCCTTTTCCCAGGATCCGTGGGAGAAATCTACAACCAGCTGAGGAATCTAGTCTTAATGATACCAAATGAATCTACGTACATGATACTCTTTAGTCCATATGCTTCATTCTTCTGAGTCAAAGTCTATCTGCACAGCTTCAATTTTGTTCTCATACTTAGCTCCTTTCTTGCCTGATATATTTCTTTACATTTTTCTGCTGTTCCCTCTAAATTCTACCTTCATTCTCCCATCTATTCTTTCCCATCTAGTTCTTCCCCATCCTCTACTTCGTTCCTCTAGTCTTAAGTCTCTGAGGTTCTTGGTTATATACCTATACAAAGCAGCAATTCTCTGGCCAAGGCGAGGTTACCCAGGCTTGAAGTCTTTCAGGGTCGTAAAGGCACATAAGAGTTTACCTCAGGCAGGCTTTCTTTTACAATCCAAAGTGGGTGTGGTTAAAGGCAGTTGAGTCAACTAAGAGCTAAAATTGGTTAATATATCAAAAAATGGAATTTATGTGCTCAAACTACCTTCCTAGAAGTGGTTAGATAAAATGTTAGGAGCCTACAATATTAGTATAAATCATGAGTAAAAGAAAACTGCCTGTTTTTCTTTAGAAGCCATAACCACCTCTGTATCGTTTTCTGGCAGGGCAGAGTAGCTAGGCAGCCCGTGTCACAGCTTGATGCACCTGGGATGTAAAAGCCCTTTGTTCTGAGAAACTGTCAAAGGGGAAGTCTAGAGATATCATCAGGGCTATCGGAGAAAGGTGGGTTAAAGCTTCATTTGCCCAAGAAACAAAGCTAAGTACCTAACATGTGCCTGACCCTGGCAGCTGTCTCCATATGGACATATACCTTATTTCAGGGGACTAGTGGGTGGTCTGGAATGTTTGTCTTTCTGCAGTCTGTCCTTGGATGTTTGAGAGGTGTCTCAGATAAAATGCTTTTGTCCACAAATGGTCCTGGCCCTGGGTATTTGCTAATGGAGATAATTACAGAAGGCAGATACCTGAGTCTAATGCTAAGAAGGGAAGACAAAGGCCTGGAAAAAGGAAGTCTTGCCTGTGTGACTGTTATCAATACAGTTGGGGGAAGTATCCAAATACCGTAACTGTATGGGGAAAAATTGTGCCCAATGAATGATCAAACACACTGTAAGAAGTTCTTAGGAAAAAGACTCACACACGAAGTTCACTGCAGGAAACAGCTGATCTATTCAAAAGCCAAACACCACCAATACTCCTTGAGCCTTGGCTTCCTCTGGAAAAAAATCCTTAACTCTTCAGCTTTGTCATAGTCAGCTGAATTCCTACTTCTTATTTCTGTGGCTTGCAACCTACCTGCATTAAAATGTTATACAATCCACTCAAATAAATGTCTTCTCACCCTTCCTCTTTCCAGCCGTCAGTGCTTCCCGACCCTCACTCAAATGCACATATCTGAGTGTCTAAATCACCTTGCCTTCTGGTTGTTTACTCCAGGTTCTTCATTAAGAAAGCGCACGCGAGCGCGCATACACACACACACACACACACACACACACACACACACACACACACACACACACACCACCCAACCACCCATTTCTGTGCAGCTGCTCAGCAGTACTTCATAAGCAGAAATGATGGATATCTCCAAGAGTTCTATGAGTTCAAGGCCAGCCTGGTCTATTTAGTGAGTTCCAATCCAGCCAAGGCTGTATGATGAGACTCTGCCTCCAATAAACAAATTAAGTAATCACATTTTGGATAGTGGTAATCTTGACTTACTTTAGCAGTTATGATTCTGATAAGGTTTGAACAATGATCAGCCAAATGTATGTTACTTCTTAGGGCTGGTTTAAGAAAAAGTCAAACTATCCTTAAATTTGTCTCCTTTAGAATTAACAGAAGGAAGGAAGCAAATTCATTTTATAGTTTAAGTACACTAAATAGGAATTTCAACCAGATGAGGCAGCAACCACGATGTCATAGGCGGTATGTCCCTCACAGTAGGAATCACACTAATACCCTTGCTGTGGGCTTTATAAGTCAGGCGTCTGTTCCTAGCCCACATGAAGAGACTGTAGCTCCAGCAATGGGTTTGAGTTAGCTGCCTATCCTTTATACATGGGTGTAACACATCTCGGGATGAGCCATTCTGAGAAGAAACTTCTCAGGTGTGTGACAAATTCTAGGTTGGTACTTCATTTTCTAAAAGGTTTATTATTCTTTTATTTATGTGCTATACATGTGTATGCACATGTGCGCAGGTGCCTGAAG